CCTGGGTCCCCGCCCCTCCCCCTAGTGTCACCCGGACTCCTGGGTCCCGTCCCCAGCAGCGTCCCCCTCCCCCCCCGAGTAACCCGGATTCCTGGGTCCAATCCCCGGAGACACAGCCCCGCCCCCCTCTTCACAGAGTCACCCGGAGTCCTGGGTCCCGTCCCCAGCAGACTCAGCCCGCCCCCCCCCAATCATCCGGATTCCTGGGGTGATCCCGTCCCCAGTGTGCAGCCCCCCCCCCAAATAATCCAGACTCCTGGGTTCCATCCTAGCAGGCAGCTCCCGACTCGGACTCCTGGGTCCCATCCCCTGAACCTAGGGCTCCCCAGATAGTAGCCCGGACTCCTGGGTCCCCTCCCCATCCCTGGGTCAGTAAGTGCGGGGAGGGAGGGGGCTGAATCTCTCCCCCCACTCACCCCACTTGCTCCCTCCCCAGATGATGACGAGGGGGGACAGCAGCTGCCTCCCTCATCCCTCTTCCTCCAGCTGCCAAGCAACGCGACCCTGCGTTTCCGTGGCAACGTGGCCAAGTCCTGGGGGGCTGCGCTGGACGAGGGGGAGCCTCCAGGGACCCCCCAGGAGCGGGACAGGGCAGAAGTCGGGGAGCAGGAATCGGTTCCCCTGAAGCAGCTGCCACTCTGCATGGCGGAGAAACGGACACTCAGGTAACGCCCCCCCTGCACAGGGCCGGATGCCTGGGTTCCTTTCTGGCTCTGAGAGGGGAGTAGGGTCTAGTGGTCAGAGCAGGGGGGGGCTGGGAGCCAGGACTCTTGAGTTTTATCCCCGAGTGGTTGGATGGGGGGCTAGGAGCCAGGATTCCTGCGTTCTCTCCTGGCTATGGGAGGGGAATGGGGGGTGCAGTGGTTGGGGCGGGGGGGTCTGAGGTCTTACCCCCCGTCCCTCTCCCCGCAAGGCTCCGGGAGCAGCAGGCGGCCTGGAAACGGAGCCGTTGGGAGCGGTGGCAGGTGAGGATGCGCCGCCTGCGGGGACAGGTGGGGGACGCCCTGCTGTACGCCCAGGTGTGGAGGGGCTCGCTGCACCACATCGAAGGTAGGACATACCCCCCTCTGAGCCCCGGGGTCCCCCCCACTGAGAGTGACGCCCCTGAGCCCCTGGGGTCCCCCCCCCACTGAGAGTGACCCCCCCTCTGAGCGCTGGGGTCCCCCCCGCTGAGAGTGACTCCCCCTCTGAGCCCTGGGGTCCCCCCATGCTGAGAGCGACCCCACCCCCGAGCCCTGGGATCAGTCCCTGCTGGGGAGCCCGGGGGTTTGGACTCGCGGTCGGGGTCACGCTGCCCTTTTCCCCCCCAGGTCACTTCGGAACAGGGATCCAGTCGTATTTCAACTTCCTGCGCTTCCTGGTGCTGCTGAACCTGGGGGGGGCCCTGCTCGTGATGGGGTTCGTGGTGGCCCCCAACGCCGCCTTCGAGGGGCTGCGGCTGAACCAGACCCAGCAGGGGCCGAACTCCACAGGTACGGCCAGCCCGGATGCCTGGGTCCCATCTCCCGTGACAGAGACCAGGCGAGAACCCCCAGAACGGCAGCCCGGACGCCTGGGTCCTGTCTCTAGTGAGAGAGAGGGGACGAGAGCCCCCAGCGGCAGCCGGGACGCCTGGGTCCTGTCTCCAGTGGGGGGAGGGCGAGAGCCCCCAGACGGCAGCCCGGACGCCTGGGTCCCATCCCTATCAAAGGGGAGGGGAGAGAAGGGAATAGCCCCCAGAATGGCAGCCTGGGTCCTATGTCCAGGGAGGGCAGGGGTGACCCAGGGGTATTTGGAGGTTTGGTTTGAGGGGGTCTCACCCCTTTTCTCCCCCACCCCCGCAGTGATCAGCTGCCTGCAGTACGACCCCACCATGCGGGGCCTGGTCAGTTACTTCACCTACCTCATGGACCTGCTCTCCGGGACGGTGAGAGACCGGCCTGTGGGCCCCCAGCCCCCTCATGCCCTCAGCTCCGCCCACAGCCCCCATGCCCTCAG